TCTCTCTCTCTCTCTCTCTCTCTCTCTCTCTCTCTCTCTCTCTCTCCGTTCTACCACCCTCTATCCTCATAGCCTATTCTCTGATTCTCTACTTCACTCACTCTCATTCGTCATTCTTAATTTAGCTTCAATATCTTACAGTCTGAGGGGAAGAACGCCAAATGAGAGGCAATGGGGAAAGAAACAAGGATTTTTCCTTTTCGCGGAAAAGCAAAAGTAAAAAATAAAAAGTGGAAACCAACAGAGTGACGCATGCTGCATTGCCGATGGGTCGCCGGCCGGTTTGAGCGACTCCGCAACGCTGGTGCCAACCAGCTTCCTAAACAGCAATTACCGGCTGATGGGAGTGTTTTCCTCATTAGGCTGCTGCAGCTGTGGATGGTTCACCGTAATCAGGCCGCCCGGCACCCACCGGCTAACGCTGCCTATCACACACTAGCAGGCGAGGGAGAGGGAGAAGGAGGAGAGAGAGAGGAAGAGGGAGGAGAGGGAGGAGAAGTGAACAGTGGAAGAGATGAGAGGATAAAAAAACAACAGTGGAGATGGAATGAGAACGAGGACAGAGGCAACAGAAAAGAAGGGCACGTGAAAAAAGAAAGAGAGGAGCTGAAAACCGATTGCTGTTCAATAACATCACGGACAGAGTACAGCAGCCACCGCGCTGAAAGGACAAGCCACACAGGCATTTCCCTGGTGTTACAGGCTGCCAGTTCACTACTATTCCAATAGCCGTTAAGTCACTGTGCTCATAATCTACAGTGGCGTCCTGACAAAAGAATTAAGCTTTTTCTCACGACAGAGCTTGGCATCCGAGCTGTAACGTGTGGCATGCGCCGTGTGGCGAGGAGGCCAGCATTGGATTCCCTGGTTGGTAATGATGAGGCTGGAATGACTCCGAAGCGCCGAGAGACCCGGTTCAAGGATAATGGCGGCAGATGCGTGCACAAAAGGCAGCCTCTGAGTACCGCTCCGTGTTGCAGGTTAAGTGGCTGTTTAAACGGTGTGCTTTTTGAGTGTGAAACACAGAAGGCAGTTGCAGAGTGATTCAGTTCAGAGAGACCACAGTGATATTGTTTCTCATGGGGAATACGGCGAAGAACAACTGGATAAGAGAAACAATATGCCAGGCTCAGGTAATTATCCGCTGTGATGGCCACATTCAAAGACAGAGTGGAAGATGAAAGAGAGCTGCTCACGCTTTAAGATATCTGTAGGAAAAAAAGCGAACTACATTTTGGTAAATGTCTGTTTTTGCCACTCTCTGTTGTCAGCAGTTTCACACTATATCCAGCTAATTAAAGTCTTTTCATTCTCCTCAAAGACGCTTTTAGTGTAAAACCACCTGTTGCGCTCAGGTTGCGAGACATTTGTTTTGCATGAAGAGGCAACACTGCTGCTGTCATTTAGAAGGACTGGGTTGTTAGCAAAAGCAAAAACATCCACAATGACTCAACTATGATTGAGCTCCACCGAGAGAAAACTCAAATATTATTATCAGAAAATCTTATTCCAATGTTATATTATATCAAACCCCATCTTTGTACGATTTACTGCTGGCAATAGTTCTCAGGAAAAGCCATTTAGCGTTTTTGCATTCTGTAATTGCCTCTTTGTTCAGAATATTTCACTGTTCTTATTTCTTACCTACACAGAAAAGGATGAATGCGAGTACTGGACAAGATGTGGAAAACATAAGCCAGTGCAATGCGAAAATTTCACATAATGCAGAAGACAACATTTGATTACGGGTTCACTGTTCTGTGTCACAATGATGCCTGTTGTCTTCTTTAGTTTTCAATATAAAAATAATGCAATAACAGAGCTGTAAACACAACACTGACATATCACTTTTAAGTTGATGCGTCAAGTTAAAGCTGGAGTCTACGTGCCGCAAATCTTTTCATTTGATTTTGCGGGGAATCGGACCCGATGGCGAGCATTAAGAATAACGATAAAGGCACCTTTAGCATCTAGCATCTTCGGGAGCGTTATAGCTTGATGTGCTCGGCTACCCAGTGCGTCAGAAAGTGACGCCAAGAGTTCTGGCCAGGTTTCAGTACGTGACGTTGGGATAAGAGTGTGTTGCAGCGGCTCTTGCTGATGGTCTTGTTTACTTAGGTCATATAGAGGCATGAGTTTTAAATTTAGACTATTTTATAACCAGCTAAAGCTCCTTATAATAACTAATATAAAAATACTGATTATAGCTGCTTCAAGGATTATAACTTCAAGGTACTGAACACGTTTGCTGAGCGACAAGTGATCTTTGGGAAATGAAGTGCAAAGATACCAAAGATCAAAAAAACACCGTCTTCCTCGCCATCAATTAGAACCACCATAAAAAGGCTCACAGAGCGAAAAATAGATGAAAAGCGTGTCCAACAGAAATCCATCTGAAGAAGCCAGCCATGTTCACTGAATGCTGTGAGTGGACAGATGGAGCAGACGCAGAGAACTAGTTAGTTCAAGCAGGAATGAAGGGAGAAGCTGGTGCAGGTGGCAGCAGGATAGGAGTGTGGAGCCTGCCAGTGTGTGTACATATAGATGTGTGGGTGTGTGAGATGGACAGCAAAACAACCCCCCCCCCCCACACACACACACACACACCTCTTTGCATAGGAGCATGTGCATCAATCTTGTGACTGTGTGTATGTGTGCGCCAATTGCTTGCGTAGGTGCGGGTGAATTCATCTGTACACGACTCAGTGTGTGTGTGTGTGATGAATTAGTGACAGCAGCTGGTGGAGCGGTGTGATCCCTCAGCGGTGGTGACAGCAGCTGTTAGTGGTGCCGTCTCCGCCCAGCCAGACTGACTGGGTCCTCTTCATCAAACACACCGGCTCATTAATGCTGCAGGGCCTGGTGCCGCGGCGCACCGCCCCGCCCGGGAACCCGGCAGCACCAGAGCCGGGCGGCTGGGGGTGAATGGATGAGTCATGGGTCTCAGGGTGTGTGTGGTGCTGTAAGCATATGTGCATCTATCTCAGCCTGAGTAAATACATGCGAGTCTGTGTGAGGACTTTTTTTAAATTTCTGCATACGCGCGTCTGCCGATCTGTCATTTTTTTTGCAAGTCTGCATGCGTGTCTGTCTTTTGCCGCTTGTGTGTGTGTGTCACTAAATCGCTGACAAGCAACAAGAATCCTGCTTGTTAGATCCAACTGCTGAGACAGTCTGCTATCACACCCATCACCTGCTCCTCGTGGAAACTGATGCTGACAGTTATGGATGGTGCAAATGAGACAAGCGAGTGGGAAAGATGTCCTCAAAAACGCATATGTGCAGTTGTACCTGAGAGGGAAACATTCACATAAATGCAGTGTGTGTGTGTGTGTGTGTGTAAGTAAGCAAGCGTGCAAGGCCAGTTGGCTGAGCAGCAGGTGTGTCTGTAGATACCTGTAGGTAGGTGATTCGGTTCTGGACCAGATCCGACACGTCTTTAGCCTCCTTCGTTCTCCACTCGCCCACTCCGTCCGCCTGGCTGAGGTAGTACAAGTCTGTCATGATGGATCTGCAGACACATGCACATTTGAAAACTATAATTATTCATGTATTATAACCAGCTGAAAAGAAACACTGATTGCTACAAACTCTGTGGGGTGTTTTTTTTTCCAACTTGCAACAGTGTTATCAGCCATCCACTCATAATCAAATCTATGAACATTGCCCAGAGAGCAACACTACATCTCTGAGAGGTTTGGTACTTAATAATCTTTGCAATGAACAGCCTTTTGTTTCAGGATACACACTTCTCTTTTTCCTCTAATAAACAATGACAATATCTGGCCACATCACATCAAAATTGTAAACATCTCTAAACAGCAGAGGTCGCGGTAATTGAACATTTTACGTCATTTCACTATTGTTTTTGACAATGATGGAAGCATCTGAAGGCCATCCGTCATTTTGAACGATTAGAACACGTCTACTGTAACGTTAAGTAATTCACAGTAACGTGTTGAAGAGGCCTTAGAGCTTGCTCTTCTCTGAGAGTCTGACAATGACGGGGATGAGTTTGCACATTGCTGAAAGCCCGGACACTCGGTGCGTCGGTATCGGACGTCAAGGAGCACTGACCAAGCGTTGATATTTGATGAGTTGGGAGTGAGAACCAGTTAATCAGAGAGGGGTGGAGCTGCTCCACCGGTGCAGAAGGAGCGCATGCTGCAAGACTTCCTCCCAGTGAAGCGAGTGCTTGCAGGATACATAAATCAAAAATTGTAATTATCTAATTTGGAAAAATTTGCATTTGCATTGTTCAAATTTGCCTGTTTAGGCACAATGATCACAGTGTTTTTAAAGGCTTCTGCTGGCCAACGTATAAACTGTTAAAAAAAGAAAATAAATGAAAGTGTCTGTATTTTAGATCAAAAAATCCAAAAAAGATTGTTTGACAGGTTTTCAGCCACATGCATACAGCTCACACACACACACACACACACACACACACACACACACACACACACACTACTGTTTGAGTAGGTCTTCACAGATCCAGTCGGTTCCTAGTAACCAGAACCCGACCAGAGACCTGAGTCTAACTGGTTTCAAACTACATTCACTCACACTTGGGCAACACAGGGTGGCGTTGTAATACCCGGGTCTGCATGTCACTGTGTTAGGTGGATCAGGTGTGGAATATCGGTGTGTCACAATCATAATAGTTGAAAAAATGTGTTTTTCGATGTGAGCTGCAGAGTGTGAATGTGATACACAGAGAAAGGAAACAGACTTTCCAAATGCGGCTGCTTGTTAATATGTGAAGCATCTTCCTGCTGCCAGCGTTTGTGTTCTTCTTCTGTTTGGATTTGTTTGGATCGACTGCATCTTGGATCGAGCCTGGATCTCCTGATCTCTTTTGTATCGAGTCTGTTTTCTTTGTAGAATGATTTCTACATGTTGGGTTCAGGTTTTCCAGAGATCAATTTCAGATTGGCTACAAGATCTTGTAAATACTTTTAATCTCTGGTTGTTCTCGAGCATTGAGACATTGCAAATCCATCAGCGGTCATTTTATGGATTTACATGATTTTTGTATCAACTTGCTGACGTACAGTAGCTTAATCTTATTCACAGGATGTCAAAAAAACAGCCACTCCCACCTGGTTATTAACAGTTTAACTGGTTTTAGAAAGAAGATTTAGAATATCACGACACAGTACATCAAAATACAAACGGACAGCCAACAACACTTCAATATGCAGAAGAGTTTTGTCAACCCGATCTTGACTAAGCAGACTTTCATATTTTACACATCTCACATTACACACTTGCATATGTAGTCTGTGACCTTATTAGATATGATGTTTCATTTCCATTTCACATCAGGGTAAAATGAGTGTGATTTGTGTAAAACTCCTTCTCCTACAAAAGTTACCACAACATTACACAGGGCTTTAGATAAGAACCTCCACCAGCATATGTCAACAGCATACCGAGCGTTTGACAGTCCCAAGGCTCATCGTGCTTTCAGGATGTTTATAGAAAAAGTGATGGGTTTGTCAAGCCGACTGATGACGTCTTTCTGGTTGTTTAGCTCTCTTTTGGATTAAGTCTGCCATCTGCACGCCTCTGACAGCGAATTTGTGTCATGTCACACACTGCCAAATATCGTGACCATCCACTTACAAACATGCCCAAGAGCTCTGATACTTGCAGCTAAGGGCGGACGCAAACGCATCACACTCTCTTTCTCTCACACACAAACACACACACACACACACACTTATGCAAGCTTAATCTATTACTCACTTCTTTGACCCAAATCAGTCACATCCTGTGTGACTGAGAGTTCTTATGCATATATTCAGTCGTGCATGCAAAGGCACAAACACACACACACACACACACACACACACACACACACACACACACACA